CCATGTTTTATCTGTTCACAACATAGCTGAACACGCACACATGCTGTTCTTCCGAGTGAAACGTCGTAAGAACCACGTCGGTGTGCTACTAAAACAGATACCTACAGTCACCGTGAGCATGATTTCAATCGCCAGCACTTGCTTGAATTCCGTATTTGGGCTAAAGCTGCGACATGTCGAAGTGCATGAAACGCACCGCAATCGCAATGACCCACATAGTGATGCGGATTGAGTTGGTCAAAATAAGAATTGAAGGAATTATTCAGCCTCCTAATGAAGTCAATACCCACCGAAGTCCAAATATGTTCCGATCAAAATCCCATGTCAAGTGTCCATTTTTTATGATGCATTCGGCAATATGCTGAATGTTTGCACCCAAGTCTGGAATATTATTCTAGAAACTGCCTCCTCAAACAACGACGGGTCTTGTGAGTATACCTGCATTTCTCCATAGAGACCATACCCACAGTTCTGATGATATCTTAGTAGGTTGGCAACATAGCTTTGCTTAAACATGATTCATTATGGTGGCTCATTAGACGCGATTGTGCGAATGTGGGTCTGGGTGTTAAGCACCACGGTCGCCGCAACCTACACAAGGAAAAGTCGAGTGTCCATAATCCCAGTGTGTGACAAGAGATAAGCACTATGATGTCTAAGACGGTATGCAGCATCACTGAAATCCATCCCTGTCACATGACATGTTGCGTGGTCAACGTCTGGATCAGTATTTTCATGTACACATGGACATTCAGGTATTTAAGTTCAGAGGCAATGAAAGTGCTCGTGAAGTCGAAGAGCGGTTAGTAAGCGTGTACCTTTTACGGAGGCCCCGATTGTGGTGCCAATTAAGAGAAGCTACTCATGTTATGCTTGATTGTAAAATGAATACAACGTGTTTTGAGATGTGGTGTCTGGACATTTAATCTGCCCTAGTCGACGGTGTTGTCTAGTGAGCAGAATCAAATTCTATTTGTGTGAGGGGAATCCTCTCTGACTCGACTTATATGTCCAGTCGCTTAGAGGTGCCTTCAGAGATGGTTGGCATTGACAGGTTTAATTAGAGTGTGTTGGGACCATGCTCAAAACAATAACTCTTCTTAAACAGATATTCATCTGAACAAATTGCAGCACATAAGCCTAGGGAATTCACAGAGTTCAATCCAATTTTCCTTTTCCAAATCAGTTTGAAACACCAAAACTAGGCCAAGATGGTTGTCCTGTGGAAAGTGTAGGCAGGCGCACTTAAACCGAATGGCAATCGATGGGACGTGAATACCTCGAAGATAATGATAATGGTTGTTTTGGATACGGCTTCAGGATCAATAGTTGTCTGATGATAGGCTCGGGAAAGGTCTGATCTTGAAAAGACTTCAGCATTGTTTAAATCTGAAAACCCGCATAAATTAGGCGTGGGTGGCTGTACTAATCGAATTGTCTCCAGACTTCAAAATTTGCAGATACCATGTGTAAAATGTTGTCCCGAAAGCTGTAAGAAGGACAAACTATGCCCAAACGACTCCTGTGCTATAACACTGTTTTGACTACTCCAACTTTGTCAGATGCAAGTCGTTTGTCTTTAGCTGATTTTGGTCGACCTTTGGTCATGATGTGATGCATGACTTAGTACGTAGGTTCGTAGGACGCCGGAGCCAGCTTAAGAGATTCGGGAAGCTCATCTCCGAGTTGTTCGTAACTGTCAGATTCAGCTAATTGCAAATGGAGTCCAAGTAAAGTTACTGAAGCAAAAAATCGTGGAACAGATGCAGTGGCATTTGACTCAATGTGCTTTTGTTTTGCCACATCAATTAAAAGACCGATGCGAAATTGGATATTAGCATTTACTATGAGGCACATAGCATCAATCACCGTAGAAGAGGGGGCGTTTTTGCCATAGGTCTACATGTAATACCAACAGCATCTAACTATGCGTCAGCTCGAGTAAGCTGTTTGCGATTGAAGTTGGTGGCAGAGGGTTTTAAGGCGGCATTTGTAGGGTCCTGGAGGAATACCGCTACCTCGTCACCAGTGTCAATCAAACTTCAACACCGCCGACAGCATCAAAAACGTAAAAAGGCGATTTTATCGAGTGTCTGTGCCATTCGTTGCAAAAGCTGGTCAGTTCTCCTAATTGGAGGCTTGAAATCCAGAGGGTGACTATGAATGATGACAAACATGTGCTGTGTCACCAGTTCGATGGTTGTATCGGCATAGGCGAGAGTGCATTTTGCATTAAATGTTTCGATAGAAACGTGAGGTGGAACGCTGTCGTGCATGTGGCTGTTCAGAAGAAGGGTCATCAATTCTCATTGAGACGTTAGCTATTTGTTTTTGCAAATTGTTGGTGCACAAATTAATCTTGTCAGGTAATTTGATGATTTGAGTTCCTACTTCCTTGGAGAGACTCTTTGACTTTGTGTGCCCATCACCTAGTCTGATATCGGAAGGCGGTGCTAGAGACTGGGTTGATTCGAGCAAATCGTCTGCGTGCAATCGCTGACTATCGAAGTTTCATAGGGGTTTTCAAATGGCATTATTTCAAGCAAGTCAAACGCCCCTGTTACAAAATCTGGAAAGTTGACTCGTTCTAATCACTTTGGGGTCACCGAATGCAGTAGATTGCTAGCTCAACCTTAAAACTCCGCCAATTAACTCTCTGTAACAACCCGAGAAGAGAGGCAATCCAGACAATAGTTTATTAGCGTCATGTGAGTGCGTGAATGAATATCGACTGTTAACTGTAACCAATAATTGATGTCATCCGACCAACTCTTAAAATGCGCTGCACTCACGCTCGGACAGGGACATTTCAGTAGACAAATCAGTTCCACAAATCATAGCAGTAGCAGAGATTCGTGGTATCAGTTACTGCACCCATAATCACTTATAAGCCGTTCCCCAGTATTTGGAGAAAAGTATGTGAGTGAAAATGAACACCAATTGCTGGTTAACCAAGGCAGAAGGAGGTGGAAGAGTTGTCTGAACACTAAGTGCAAAACAAATAACCTGCATCAAAACATGTCACCAAAACGGGAAATGCTGTTACAATGTATACATAGAAATCATGAACTCAATGTCGGTCAAACAGTAAGGTGCTTGACTGTTTGGTCTACACAACACTTGTACTGGTCTCATGTCGTGATTCCAGATGACAAATCAGACGGTTTGTAGACTTAAGCATTTGTTGGTACGTGAAAAACCAAGTCTGTCCTCCAAGTGTCAGTGACGTCGGCCAGCCTGTCGTTTGTTAAAACGTCTAGGTGCGAATCTGAAAAAACGATATAGCTAAAAGCAACTGAAATGACCTTTGCAATAAACGCTCTGCTTCAGTACCTCCTTATAGCTTGACACGTAAAAATGTGGCTCCACCACATATATGCATCTTGACCTAAGCTGATGGTGTTTGGTCAGACTGTTAAACGAATGCCTGCCAAGAGGTAAGACATCATCCAAAACTCCATCTCAACTGCCGTGGATGTGGTTGGATGTGTCTGGTTAATAAATTGTTGCCTGCTATTTATAGTCAACCTGTGTGAATGTGGTGAGGGAAGGTTGGTTGTACCTAAACTCACAACATGCATTTTTCAGTGGCTTTGTCACACCCATTTGATTTTCATACAGCTGCTTAATTTTGACCAATTCGCAAACAACTATGCCAACAAAATACCAAATGGCAAAATAGACAGACACGTAGATTGACAAAGTGCAAAGTGCATGGTGGTGTTTTCATCATTCGTGCATCCACCATGATCGACAATTCAGGCCGGACACATTGCGCATCTACCCCCGTTTCGATCTTTACCCTACACCCACAGGATGCTCATTCACCAAACAAATATTCAACAAATGCATCAATGCGACATGAGTAAAGCATCGCCTAAGTAAACAATGTGATTTGACGCAAGTTACGCACTTGTGATCGCGTTTGTATAAAAGGAGACATGCCCGACGTCGATTCCATCTCGCACCAGCCACACGAGCAAGCACAAATACACGGACATTGGAAATGCAGTCGTTAACGGGCCTGAGTCTCTCAATTATCCTTCTTCTTCTCCTCTTCATTCAAACACGCGTGGTCGTTGGCTCTGAAGTGAAATCACAGCACCTAGAGGCAGGACACGTTGAAGGACGAGATGTTGAACTGACTGACGCAGCGAAATCCATGATGGGATATGACGATTTCGTCACTGATGAGGATCTTCATCCTGCTGGGTGGTTTCCGTCCGGAGTACAAGAACCACTGAAAACACCACGTGCAAAATCACGAACTAGAAAATCGTTATCACAGCATCATATATTTCCATACTTCCACATAGACCCGTATGATGGTTTCGTGTTTCTTACATTTTCTTAAGGCCAGATTTGTATATATTATCATCGGTAGACTAAACGTTCTTCAAATCACTGTAACATTAATGTGTCCTAATTGCGCGTAGTTGCATTTCATCGAAACTGCCCTGATATTTAAGTACGAATTAAAGTTAAGAAGCCTGCAATTCGCTGACTAATTTGCACGATTTGTGTTCTATTGCGACATCGTAAAAGTCCAAGCTCAACTTTGCAATTAATCTGAGTGAAAATGCCTCCTAAATTAAACGAGAACTAAATCAGATATGATTGCGCAAAAAACCACCTGTTGAGGATCGATTTCTATGATATCAACGCCCCTAGACACCCAAGTCAGTGTTCATCTCTTGTCATACATTAAGATGCAGAAAATGAGGAGAAGGGCTAATTCTTGACTCACTTCTAAACAGTCCCCTTGAATTAGCCATCGCTATGTGCATA